ATCATTTTGTCGCTTAAAAGCAATTAAGGATTTGATTTTATAATTCAAATATGATTTAAAAATGCAGAAAGCCCGAGTTCATGGACACAAGAAGTGATGACAGAATATTGGTACTGGTACCGTTTTATCATGTTTACGGAATAGGCATGTTGTTACTCGGTCTTTTCGCGAACTGCACCTGTATTATAATGCCCGCCTTCGAGCCGCAACTCTTTCTAACCCTAGTGCAGGAATATAAGATCACGCATCTGCCGCTAGTGCCGCCAATCCTGACGTTTCTGGCGAAACATCCGCTAGTAGATAATTGTGACTTTTGCAGCGTGAGAGAACTCTTCAGCGCAGCGGCGCCGCTTCCGAAGGACGTAAGTTTTCTTCTGTCATTATGAAGTTGTCGTCCCCTATATCTATCAAATCTCTTTTCTCTCATTCGAGTTATCACAGCAAGAAAAACAGCCATCAGCGGGACTAAAAATACCGAAGTAATTCCTTGATACTACGGCTGCGATGAGAACAAAGGATTATGAGAGAAAGTCCCGAGGACTTCGTTGCGTTTTCACTAGACACAGTCGGGGAGTAACTTTATCGCGTTCGTTTTTGTTTAACCAGATTACGAACTTGCTATGGAAGAGTAGGATAAAGAGAACATAGAAGGCTGCATTCTTGCGAGTTTCACAATCGCTTCTTTCGCAAAATGCGAGACTGATCTCTTATCGGTAGACAGAATGTCCCAAAAACGGAAAGGGGAGGAGATCGAAGGTCTCTTAAAGTTTTAAAAACCAAACACGCCTTTGAACTTAATATCTTCTAAATGCCGCTTTTTAGTTAGATATTACATATTGCTTTTGTCTCTCGCGTGATTGAGATACAATTGCAGAGCAAAACAGATATAGAAAACGACAGAAGGGACGCTATAAAAAGTATATATGTATATTAATTTTTATATTGAATAAAATTCATATTGCTAAATTCTATGGCTGAAAGTTATGGTTCAATTAAAAATCATTTTTTTAATAATACTTAAAAATAAATGATATCCTAATAGATTTCGATAGACAATTATACTACAAAATAGTATTAATGTACGACATTCTTAAAGTACTATTTTGCAAGTCGTTAATGTTAATTCCTTTGCATTTAATTAAACTAATTTTAATAAATTAATTCAATGTTGGTGCAACCAATATAAAAACAATGGAAAAAATAAGTTACTTTTCTCTTTTTTTTTCACAGATCATAACCGCGGTGAAGGCTCGCATCGGCATAAAATGCGTTCGCAACGGCTACGGCATGACAGAATTGTCGATGGCGACTAATTTGAGCGGACGCGACGATGATGATAACGAGTTCGAAAATCTAGGTTGCGGGCAAATTTTCCCTGGTTTTCTCGGCAAAGTGGTCG